GGGCTGAGCTAATGTGGCTGTGGGAGTCCTGGCTGCTGTGAACTGCCTTCCTCTTGGGCAACTGGCTTTCAAGAATAGCTTGGGGGATGGGAGTGAGGAGGAACATCCTCAAACATGACGTAGGCAAAGAGAATTGCAGTTTCTAGCGATTGCTGACTTCTCCTACAAGGGAGGAAGTGAGAAACTGATTTAATAAATTGGTACAGAGCGTACTGCAGGAAAAGTACTCGTGTCATTTGGTGTTATCAATAATTCAGGTATCTTCAGATTAGTGAACAAAGCATATTTAACATATTACTTCCCTTGCTCATTGTGCTTTTTACCTAATTTGTAAGTCAGCAGTAGCATGATAAGCTAGTATTAGATTTTTTTTCTTATATGAAGTCTGACATGTGTGGTCATTTTGCTAAATAGTGGGGAAAAGGTTTTCATAGTTGAAAAGAGGCAGGCTGGATCTGGGTTTGAAGGGGCATACTGGAGTATTTGGCTTTTTCTGTTTTCCTAGAAAAAAGGTTGTTTCCTGTTGTGGTTTTTCTCATATTTTCCTGAAACTTGCTGATAGGCTTTTAAATGTAATATAGTGCACAAGTTTTATATTCTTTCTGAACTCCCATTCCTTTTTCCTGTCCTTTTTCCTGACGGCTCTCCTGGAGCAGGGTGGGAGCTCCCTCCTGCATCACGCAGCAGTGCTGAATGACTTGCATGCTGCTTGCTCATGATGAAGATTACATTGAAAAAATGACTCCTTAGTGCTGGCATTCAGCTTGGCCTTCTGACTTGTGGGTGTCAAACCTTACTTAATTCTGGGCTGGGAAAGACATCCCTGAGTCGAAGGAAAGCCTTGACTATTCAGAAACTGTTCTAGAGCCAACCCAATTCCTTAGTGGCAGAAGGAGGAGTAATTCTCAGCCAGGGTATGTTATGCGAGACGTTTAGACACTCTCCAAGTCCACATTTGTTGATGTTTGTGTTTCACCTACAGAGGAAAAAACTTCAGACCAAATGGCAGCAAAACTTATCGAAGACATTGAGGGTTCCTGGAGCTTTGGTGCGCTACAGGGTGCTGGCAACTGGCAGAAATTGGGTCTGGTTGATGAGCTCTAACCCATCTTCAGGCTAGGCTTAAGTACTGAACATCCCTGTGTAAAACACTGTTATTTTAAAAAACATTTGGGACACATGTGCGTAGATTTCAATGCTACTTTTGCGCACAGTGAAGGGGCTGTGCAGCTCTGTGAGTGGAACAGGGAGCTCAACACCTTTCCGACTACAATGTTTAATTGTGTGTAATTCAGTCCCCTGTGTGGGGCTGAAAGAGCAGAATGGAGGGCAGGGTTTGGACAGATGAGAGAGGTGTTGGTGATCAAATGATCCCATATTGGGGTCTTTTCCTCTGTGGAAATCCCAGGATCACCTGTGGAACCATCTGGTGCCATTGGAAAGGATCTTCTCAGAGCAGGACCTTGCTCAAATTTTGCTTCTTGGCTTTTGCCCGCTCTCCTACAAAACACCTCCTGTGACCAGTCCCGCTACTCACAGGGAAGCTGGCAGAAGGGCTGCTAGTTTTTGTGTGGCACTTTGAGCTCTTGCATCTTGCCCTACCTCCTAGGCAGCCAAGATTTGATTTTAGAGGCAATTTTCCCCCAAACCAACAGCAGTCTTCTCCAAGCACCCAAGTTTTGTATGAAGAAGGATCCTCCCCTGGTCCTTGAACCATAATGACCAAGTCTTTCTTCTTCAGATCCCTCCCATGCTGCCCCAAGGGGTGGTTTTTGTACCTCTGGGGTACTGGCCAGTGTGTGCTGACTGGTAACAAGTCCTGCGTGCTGTGTATAGTGGCTGACCAAAAGGATTTGGTGCCTCTCTGTGATGCTGAATCTGATTTCCAGCAGCTCCTGAAAAGGACACTGAATAGAGGTTGGCAATGATAGGTGTGGGGTACTGGGCTCTTGGGCTTTTGTTTTTTCCCCCTCTGTGTTCATACTGAAGTATCATTACTGTCAATCTAAACTTCTGCCCTGGGTTGTCTCTTCTTTGCTGCAGGCGACACTGGTGGAAGAACAAGAAGAGACTGAGCTGTGATTGAACCAGGAGATTTTGGACAGTGTCTGAGGATGGTGAGTATATATTCTAGTCTGTCTCTGTCCTCTGTGGGTGGTTTTGTTCATTCTTTGTGTGTCTAAATCTTATACTGCTGCTAAATGTATGAGGATAAATACAAGAATGGGAAAGAAGAGTGCTATAGTATTGTGTATTATAAATAATAATATAGTATAGAGAGCTTTTATTGCTGTGGCCAAGATGCTGTTGGTAGGATAAGTTTACCCCTGAACTTGTTATTGGAATATACTGGAAAAAAGTAAGTAAGACTGGAGTCCCTCCTTGGACTACTGACATAGTCATCCAGTTTTTGTGGCTTACTGATTTGTTTTTACTTTAAAACTTAATGCTGGTGTTTCTTGTTCTGTTCCTCTGTCACCCCTCAATGAAGATTTAACACCATGTTAATAACGTGCTCTGGTGCCACCAAAGTAGCAGAAATTTCACAATAATTAGTCACAGAAAAATATGGTATGAAAGAATCTGGAGAGACTGAAACACAGCCAAAGCAGCCAGATTGCTGATAAACTCGGATAAAGTGCCTCTAAAGCCTTCAGCAAGAAATAAACCAAAGTATGTGCAATCTGATGAGAGGAAGAAGGCTTGAGACCAGGAATGTTGAAAGATGCTGGAAGTGTCATTAGGGCAGTAGTTTGGATAGGGGGTTGAAGGCGACATGGTGATCTGCATATTCAGCTGTGGGTGGGCAGTGAGCCTGGGCGTTGCTGCAGTAACACGGTATTATCATCAGCTTTGTGCCGCTGCTGTCAGAAGCATATTATTATGTTGGAAGGAGTGCAGAGAAGAACGGCAGAAACAGTCAAAGGGCTGGAAATTCAAATTGAGGACATGAAAATTTAGGTTAAACATGTTTTAAAGAAAAAAAAATCTGGCAGACTGCTCAAGGAAATAGTGACATCTCCTATGGGGTTGTCCCCTATGTGATCTATTAACAACTGGAGTAGAAAAGGAAGTGTGCTCTCTGTATTAATTGAACTGTCAGCTCTAGTAGTCATGCACACAACACTTTTGGTGTAGTCCGTATCCTCGTGCTCCCTGGTTTAGCTTCAAGATCTCTTCTGCTTTCTGTTGGAAGAGCTTCTTGCCATGCTTCAGGTCGAGGCGTTTGCTCTGGGGTGGAGAGATGAAAGTATGCCCTTGTAACCTGATAAAGTGTCTTACACTTCAAGTTGGAATTACCGTGGTGTCAGACTGGAATTGTAAAAGACCCAACAACTTCTCTGTATAGGATTGAGATGAGACTGATGCAGATGTATCCAGACATGAATGAAAAAAAAAAAAAAAGTGAATAAACACATGGAAAATGCATCAAAAAATCCCTCTGGGTAACATGGAAAAGGCCAGGCTGGGTCCATCAAAGGTCTGGCTAGTCAGATACCCCACTGACAGGGGGCCACCAGTGAGTGCTGCGGGGAGAGCCTGGGGGGAGCATCTCTGTAGTGTATGCCCTCACCTGTCAGGATCTGCAGCTCAGGGACTTGGTAATCCAGAAACAATTTATTGATGTTCTATGAGCCCTTGGTAGAATTTTCTTCTGTGAATTCATCTAGCTGCTTTTCAAAACCAAGTGAAGATTTGCAGTTGCAACACATTGCAGCAAAGAGCTGTGCTGCCAAGTTATATGGAGTAGCCCTTCTTGCTTTGTTTTTGAACCTGCCCCATGCTGTTTCAGTTGATGGTCCCCAGTTCTTGTATTGGGAGAAATGGTGAAGTGTGGTGCTGCCTGTGAGCATCTCCATGCTCTTTAGGATTTTGTAGATTTCTGTCACATTCCCATTAGACATCTGAAGAGCTCTAGTCTTTTAAATTCCTCTCTGTAGAGAAGACATCTTTAATCCTTGTAACCCCTCTCTGGACCTGTATATTTTTGGGGGGTTTGTGGACTGGAACTTTGGACTTATTAAAACATGGAAGCTTTTGCTTTGTGCTCCTTTCCTGTGTCTTGACAGATACTTATCCTGACCTGGCCCTGGCCCACCCTTAGTTGTAACCACGGATGGTTTGGTTTCTTCTAGACAAGAGGGTCTTGTGCTCCTTATGAATACCTGAAGATGACTATAGTTTCAAAGGACCTTCTGAAAAGGATTTATGGATTTTTCACATTTTATTAAAATATTCCTTTGATTATTCCTTTGATTTCAAGAAAAAAAACCCACCCCCCTCACCCACTGTTTTGAGAAGGGAGTATAGGCTTTTGTCTCCCAGGGCAAGGGAGAGAAAGCAACTTAAAATTGCAAGCTGTAGAAATACGCACTTGCCTCCACCTACTTGACTGAGTTTCTGTCAGCAGTTGAGGTAGAGGGCTGATGTAAACTCTTGGCAATCTCCTTTGAGTCCTTTTGTGACCTCTCTGGAGGGTTGTGACTTCTGAGTTAAACGCAGGTCTGCAGGGAGGGATGGAGGTTGGTTGCGGGTTAATGGATGCTCTGCAGGGTTGTCCGCTAACCTGCGGGCACTTCAGGGCTGGACTTCTTCAACCAGCTGCTGGGAGGGTTGGTTGGAAACCCTGTTCCCTACAGGCATGCTGAGTGCTTAGTTAATTACCCATGACCTCTGCAGTCAGAGGGCACAGCACCAATGCACTCTGGTTAGCAAGGGCATACCCAAAAGCTTCTGCCTTACTCAGCAGCACCCCAAATATGGATCACCAGCTGCTCTCCCCTTTCTCCTGCTATGAATGCTTGGTCTAGTGTTGGTTAAGAGCTTTGTTTGCTTTGATTGTGAGACTCTCCTCATTTTTCCCCCAAAGACTAGCTGCTGATGAAAATGACCTTGAAGACAGCACTAGTGGTGGTTTAATCCTTAACTCTGGCTAATGGAAGTCCGAACAAGCACGCAGTACCTTAATACATTACTTAAAACTAACCTGGCGGGTAAGTTAGTGCAAGCTGCTGTGCTGCTCTGCCGGCAGCTCAGGGCTTTGTTCTTACCGTATGCCATACGACTCCCACGGCAGCATTCCCTCTTCTTACTGCTGAGGATACTGGGACTGTAGATATCTGGATTTCCATGAAAGTTCATACCCTTTGGAGGGGACTATGACTGTTAGTCTGGGTGGGGTTTTGCCGGTTAGCCATCCTTTGTCCCCTCTTGGTGGCATATGGAGTTGGTAGTCCTTGACTTCTGTCCTTTTGTCCCTCTTCTTAAAGGCTTCTTGCTTCATATTTCTGTTACGTGCTCACCTCTGGGCAGCTTTCTGAACAAATACTAAATGCAGTAATACAGATCTATGACCTCTTCTGTCATCCTGTAAAGATGAAAAGATGGCACTCACCATTCCAGTCCTGATTTACAGGGTATAAAATGGCCATAGCCCCTTGCTTTCCCTCCTTTCCATCCGTGCTGTGGTGATGAAAAGCCCACCCTTAATATGTAGAAGGGATGGAAGTGGTGCCCTCTGCCTAATGAAAGAGTATTTATAGTAATTTTATTTGTGGTGCTGAAAAGAAATGGAGGATAAAGATATGTCAGGGTTGGGAAGGGTATACCTGTACTCAGAAGAGTCTGAGTCCAGTGTGCTGGTGGTGGCACCTCCCTGCAGTGGACGGGACCAGTTTTTCCTCTTCTCACCCTTTGGCTGCTTGCTTCCATCTTTCTGTAAGTGATAGACTCTGCTGGCACCTGTATTTCACAAGGGGTTTGGGTTCCTCCGGTACCATCTATGTGTCATTCAGTCTCTTTGAGGCACTTGCAGATTTTTGCTTGGGTGGATTGTCATTTTTGAACAGGAGAGATTGAGCTGCAGACCCACGAAGAGGAATCGGAGGTGACCCGGCAGGCGGGTGTCAGCTTCTCTTGAACCACCCTTTCCCTATCTTGCAGAAAGCTGGGCTAGCCATTGACAAAAAGATGCAGTTCAGGGTGTTGACTGGCTCCAGGCCACAAGGGAGATTTCAGCATCTTGGTGGCTGTCCCATGCTACCAGTATGGTTTCCCTGGGCATGTGGGATGAGGTGGCAGCTCACTCCTGTGAACCGCTGTGCTGCAGGCTGGGCTCCTGGTGCATGCAGGCATATCTCCATAAGGAATATTGTCTCCCTTGGAGGCTGCAGGATGGCTTCTTGAGCACCAGTCCTATCTTTGCCAAGCACTGTGCTATCTCAGAGCCTCCAAATCTCTTTTGGGACCTTAAAGAGAGGTTGCAAGCTGTTTACCTGCAGTGTGCAAGCAGAGACGTACAGAGGGGTGGGAGGAGCAGCACAGGGGAGAGCCACTTGCAGCATGAACAGCATGCATTGCTAGTGGGAGGAAAAAGGGTTAATTACTGCTGACTGGCCTTAAGAACACGCATGTTATATTCAGCTCCTCTCTGAGAAAGAGTAGATGAAACCTTTAGGATTGTTGTGGTTGGGAGAAAATGAGGGAGGTTTCTCTCTCCCCCTGCATGAATGTGCTCAGAGGAGCCCAATTATGTGAAAATAACCTTGTGTTCCTTGTTTGGTGTGGTGGTGGTTAGTGGTAACAGAGTGAATACCAGCTGTTCAGCTGGGGAGGCATCTGAGGTGGCATTTAGGAAATCCCTCTAGCTAAGCCAGTTAAATGAGGCTGCGAGTACTCAGCATTCCTGTGCCTGGCCACCCAGGCTGCCCAGCACTGGGCAGTCTCTCTGCCACCACTCCTGTCCTCAACTGGTTGATTGCATGGCAGTGAGAGCAGGTATTTTGTGAACTGTTGGAAGAAGAGGTGAAAGCAGTGGAGTTTGAATTCGGTTCTCTGAGATGCTGCTGAGCTTCAGGGCAAGGTCTGCTTCTGCTCTACACCAGGCTCAGCCCTTGGGCAGAAGTTTCTAAGCCATGTGTAAGTCTTTTTCTAATGCTAAAAGTGCAAAAATATTTCAGTGAAAGCAGGAGAAGATCTATTTGTAGATGTTCAGGTCAGCTTAGGTTGGAAATTCAAAGTAATGATCTGATGAGCAACCTTTTAGCTCTGTGCAGCTTAGGGTTACAAAGGTCCTTCTGCAATTCGAGCTGGAAACAGTCCCCATGCCAGTCCTTGAACTGAGTGCTGGTCCTAAAAATCTTGCTGTGGGTCGGAGCAGACCTCTTACCTGCCTTGTCCATGTTTTTGAATGTTATAAACACCGGTCATATGTTGTATGCACTTAATAGGTTAAATAGCGATGTATGCTCTGACTGTACCTAAGACACTTCCGTGCTTCAGCTGTTATCAACAGATGTGCTTTGTTGCTTTTCTCCTGATACATGTCAGGAAAAAAAAAATATATTGGCTTTACAGTTTTTATAGCTATACTTTCTTTCCAGTATAAAAGGTTCCTTCCACCTTTTGCAACCTCATCCATAACCCTCTGTTCTTGTTATGCATTGACTTTGTGCGTAACGCAAATGCATTTTGGTTTGTGGGTGCCAGCTGGAGTCAGGTGCCCCCAAGGCTGGGCAACACCTGACATTCGCCCACCATGCACCACATAAACAGTGGTGCAGGACGGAGCTGAGGTGGTAATGGGACTTCATGGCTTATCTCCAGGTGTGGTCGCATTTTCTTCTAGGACTTTTATCCTGAATAGTGAAGCAGACGTGACTGTGGCCTGTGGGGTAGTCTGCGTGTTTGGTTTCTCAGCAAGGGAGTTCATTAAACAGCTTTTTGCCTGGGCACTGCTGCTCTGCAGTGACAAAGGGCAACAGGTCTGGGCATTGCAAAGCTATCCCTTGATCAAAGCAGCTCAGAATAATCTAACCCTTAACAATTTTGCAGAGATGCCCAAATCTTTTATCTGACTTGAGAAAAACCTTTTGAGATGCTGTTGGTATTGCTAGGTAGAGCTGTCTGTGGCGGCTTTGGGGCAACCACATCTAAGAGGAGCTTAATGGCTACAGGCTGTGCTCTGTTTTGATGGTTCAGGAGCAAAAAAGCTGATATGATTTGAGCAAAATAGTTGGTCCTGGGCCTTGGAGGATTAATGGGGGGCCAGGTTTTAATTTTGCATTTTAAGAAAGAGATTCTTACTCTGGCTCTGTGATGGGAGGTGGAGGGGCCGAGTGGCAGCTGGTGATAGAAATGGAGATAGCATTGCCCAGAGGCTGCTGTCGTGTGGCTTCTGGGATGGGCTGTGACCTGGGCAGCTTGCTGTTTGTTCGTGGACTTGCTGAACAACAGGTAGTAAAAGTCAGCTCCTGGGCCAGGGCAGGGACCTGGATGTTCAACCCACAGCATTTCCTGCACTCAAGGCATTTCCCCAAGGTCTGCGACCATTGCTAAACCAGAGCTGGTGAAACTTCCCATGGGAGCTAATCATCCAGGCAGTCAGCGAGGGGAGCGGTGGCCCTGGCGAGCCTTGTGTGCACCAGGGACCAAGCTCTGGCACATGGGTGCAGCAGGGCAGCCCCTTTGTCCTCCCTGACCAGGCAGAGAAGACCGCGGGCAGCTGCTGGGCCGGCAGGATGATCCTACGTTTGCAGCACGGTTTGCAGCATGAGGCTCCTGGCTAAGCATCCAAAAGCATCAGCCAGGGCAGAGGGCTCGGTGCCGGGGTGCAAAGCCACCTTGCCGCTATTGTTCCCGGCGCTCCCGCACACGCCATCAGTGCAGCACAAGGCAGGTGCCGGCAGGGAGGAGCGCCG